GGTGTCGCTTAACCAGAAAATTATCAACAATGGCTCAGTTGGTGCTTGCGTAATTTAAGAGAGTCAGGACGCGTTCACACTGAGCATTCCGGCTGCCGAAAGCGCACCGAATCTGAGGGCCCTCTCCGCACCAATTGCTCTCGGACCGATTGCTGTGGCGCCTGCCATCGAATCGGTCACTGCGGACCAATAGGAGGCCTAGTCCAGGAGTTTGGAAAAACGGTGGGAAGCCCTGCTCACCAGTCATGCCATAGTGCCCGTAACCTAATGTTGTGTCCAACTTGAGTTTATGTCCCTATTTTGTGGAATAGGTGACCGAGCTTATTGTTGAAGTGACCGAGCTTGTCGTGGTCTTCTAGAGCAAGATAAACCCACAAACGCCGCTGGCGTCTGCGATTTTTCCTGCTCTTCATAATTCACAAGAAAGCGACTTGCCAGCAAAGTAAGCAGTACTGCTTCTTTTTGCTGTCTTCTTATGAAAATCATCGAAACTAGACTTAGCGTTGTGGCGTTTGCGGGTCGCGACAACAACCGGGCCATACCGCTGTCGTGCCCTGGTAGATGAAATATTAGGCGGTGCGGGGCGCGTCCACTGCGTATGACGCTGCCTTTCAGTGGCAGAAGAATTTTGGTTTCTGTAGAAAGCAGATGCTTCAGTGTGAACTAGGGGTTAGGTTGGTTTAAGTTGTAGTGGATGCGAAACTTGTGTACTTTAATTATTAGCCCTAAGAAAGTCTACAACAAGCTCTGTAAGTTACACTCTTCCAGCTTCCACTGCGACTGCGTCGTGCGTTCTGCGAATGCTTGGCGGCTTGTCTTAATTCAATAGGGGATCTGCGTGGAATGCAGCGCTCCAATATTCGCAAAATACGATGGCCATTGTCGACTGTTGGAATTAGCCAGCTTATGCGGCTTGTGTAAACAAATTCACAGCTTTACCGCATAGGCGAAGCAATGAACGCGATAGCAACCATTTGAAAGTTCACGCGCAGTATGGCGAGCAGATTGAAACGTGCACCGCGTTTCTCACGCACAAATGACAAAAAAACGCACTCACGCGTACAGACATTGCCTCCTTCCCGGAGGCGTTGGTAGATGAACGTGAAGAAACGTATCAGTGGCTACATCGCTATTTTTGAAAAGAGCATTCGTTTCGTAAACGGAGACTGTGCAGTAATTTCGGTGCCCTTTGTGCGCCCAGTAACTACAACAGAATCGTTCCGGTGAAAGTCCGAGGGCAGCCAAGGGGTAGGATTGTTTCCAACGCGAGATAAGCGCACGCGTGAGCATCCAAACTGCCCCCTATCCGTGGGGCAAAATACGCGTGAGAGATAAGAGCGCGTTCCGCCGCGTCGTGACGATGTGGTGACGTGCGCTCATTGCACCATCTTGCTGGTATCGCTGAAAACACGACAGTTCCCCCGGAGGTGTTCGTCACCAGCGGTCAGTGGTAGATATATATAGTTTGCCCTTTGGACCTTGACGAAGGTGCTCTTTTGTGGCTCAGTGACTAACGTCATGCACTCATAATTCAAAGGTCTCACGTTCAATTCCGCGCGCCTTAGCTTTTTTCTGGACTATTTTTTGGTCGCGTTTTCATATATATGATACGTATATATATACGGTAAGTGACGGCGACGCCGACGCTGGTGGCAAAATCTCGCCTATAGTGCCCATGTTATTGCTATCGCAATAAAAGTCGAAGCCTAGTATGAACCATTGCGCATCGCAGTAGGAAGCAATGGCTCGAAAAGGCAAACGAGGGCATTAGCGTTTCATGTGCGGGGAAAATGGAAGTATGCAAAATTGGCTTGTGCATTCTTCAGCTACCAGTTTTGACGCAATGCACGATGAGCGCTAAATGGATGGTGCGGCGAAAAATCACTCCTACCTGGGAGTCGCCACATGGCACAACCACTCACGCACACGACTGGCTGCAGTGTACCACTAGGAGCACTCGCGTGTGCTCTGTTCCTGTGCTTGATTTTGGCAAGAACAGCTCGAGCAGCCCATGTGCCCATAATACTGCGCAGTGGGTCACTTTATCGCTTCATACCTGTTTCTTCTCAGCGTACGTTTTCTGGAAGATGCCGGAAAGCTCTGCAAGGCGGTCCAAGTCAACGAGAGCGGCTGCAATATGTGTGATCCTCACGGTGACCGTGGATAGTTTAGCACTGGTTGGCATTAAAGAGTTTCTTTTCTGGAAACAACAATTTTGGCATCACCTGGGAGCGTTGGAATCGTTGCTGGTGATTGATTGATTGATTGGTATGAGGGTTTAACGTTCTAAAACCACCATATGACTTTTAGAGACGCCGATGTGGAGGGCTTCGGAAATTTCGACCACGTGGGCTTCTTTAACGTACGCCCAAATCTGAGCACGCGGCCCTACAGCATTTTTACCTCCATCTAAAATGCAGCTGCCAAAGCAGAAATTGTTGCTGGCGAGCCGAACTTGGCATTGTCATTGAGCGAAAGCTCGATATAGACGCAGGGAAATAAAAAAAGGCAAAAGAAGGCATGCCGTAGTAACAAGGGCAAAAGAAGGTATGCCGTAGCAACAAATTGCAAAAATATGGTCTTGAAGGCTTACAATGAACTCTTTCGGGCCCAATACCGTGAAAATGTACAAAACGTTGGTGTACGGCAATGTGGCCCTGCAGAGAGCGATGCTATGTTCGAACAGTCTCCACGTTGTGGGCACAGCTCGTGAAAGGGTATACAAGCCGGCTGCTGATGACTGCCCAGATACGCCGCCACTGATCATGACCGCACCCTCATAATAAATATCTGCTGTTGGTGCTCAAGCAAGAATCCCGTTCTTCCTCCCTCCTTCATGCATTTTTCCATGCTCTTTCAAGTCGGGCTGGGCGGACAGATAGTTCGGATTCAATGCCTGGGAATTCGTAGAAGAACGGTCACAAAAAAAATCTCACAAGCACAAGACGACCTGCTACTCAGAACTGAAAATCAGTTATTCAGAACGCTCATATCGAGAACAATATTGCGTGAAATTTTCTGTCATAACGAGGGATAACAGAGTGTTACGTAAAGCATGACATCGTGTGCCAGCACGTGTCTTTCCAGTAACCCCATTTTTTTCAACTAATAGATAAAACAATAATATTTTATGTATCAATTATTCTTGGCTGATGTGAAAAACCGAGTGAGTTTTCTTCTGGAGCCTGTAAACTACTGTGGTTGTTTTGAGGACTTGATCACCGTTCAATCTTGCTACAGATGTTTGTGTAAATATAAAAGGATGCAGCCACAGCACCCTGTCCTATTTATCATAAAACTGTTAATAAAACAATGGTTATGTGGTCAAACTTAGGGCTCTGGTGATTTTGTATTCCGAATATGTGTAGCTACCATTTAACCATATGGTGTAGTAGCGCAAATTCAACGGGGACGAAGAGGACAAGAAAACACGACACTCGCTACGCTCGCAACTAATTTTTATTTCAGAAGCAGCCCTTCATATATAACGCAAAACCCTAGCGACACAGAAAGGAACTACGAACACTGAATCATTGCCAACAGAAGCTTTTGCGCAGACTCAAGCGATAGTGCACGGCAGTTAAGCTTAGACACCTTTAGATGACATAACTAAAACAGCCCTGGGTAACATCACATCAAAAAAAACAAAAAACAAAAGATTATGCGGGAGTTCACACGTGTTTGAAACAAAATTTTGAAACAACAAGAAGGAGAGTATGATACGTGCAAACACTGATCTCAATTAAGTCCTTCGAGGTAGCTAGCTTCTCGGTTACTTAACGAAACCGGTGACTGACTAATGCATCCTTCCTTTCTTTTTTTAATGTGAAAGGCTTCGACAATTTCTCTGGTTAGTTGGTTTCCATGACGGAAGACTACGGTTGTGTCACTGTACAGTGGTGAGCAGCCACACTGGGAACAGTGTCTCTTTATGTGAGAATGAATGTCAGTTTCTAATCATCACTTGTGTTCTAAAAGTCGGGTGTTCAAACAACGACCCGTCTGGCCGATGTATACCTTTCCACACGTTAGCGGCAAGCAATACACGACTGATAAGCTACACTTAACAAACTTTGTTGTGTGATTTACCGTACAACTACCAGCATTAGTGTTTACTGCTATGGAAACTTTACGGTCTAGTTTGGAACATATTTTACTAAGCTTGTTGGGTGCAAAAAAAATAAATTTTAGGCCATAGCGATTACCTACGTTTTTTAAGTTATGGGCAATCTTGTGCGCATATGGAACTGATACTATCTTCTTCCTGTTTTCATTACTTGTCATTTTTTTATGAAAGTTGTTGCGTACATGACTAATCAGCTTGTTAGCTGATCTACACAACACGTGTTTTTCGTACCCAGCATTTTTTAGCCTGATAATTTGTTGGTTGAAGCTTTCGCTAATTTTTTCTGGACATGACTTTGTTAAGGCCGCTCTCAAACATGAAAAGGCTATGCCACTCTTTACAACTTTAGAATGTGCCGATCGGTAGCTAAGTAAGGGTTTTTCCGTTCGCGGATTGCATGACCAGCATACATGTTCTGCTGTGGCATCTAACTCAATATCCAAAAACTGCAGTTTGTCATTGACTGGTAATTCATGAGTAAATTCAAGCCCTCTACTATTTTTCTTGAAGACTTTCAAAACTTCTGCGACCATTTTATCCCGACCATCCGATTCAATAACAACCAAAAAGTCATCTACAAACCGAAACACTTTGAGTGCAAGCCCTTTAAGGTTTAAATCTATTGCCTTGTCCATTTTTGCTAAATAAAATGTGCTTAAAACCGGGGCTACTGTGTGTAGCCAAGTAAGCACTTCTGCTGTTACGCCCAGCGTGAGAGTGACTATGTCAAAGGGCTAAAAACCTCCTTTTTTCTGACTCCAGTCAACGCTGTCATTATAGAAAAATGAATAAATAGGTATCTTGAACCGTCTGAACACTTTCTCCTGGATTCGCGACGCGTTTATTCACTTTACACCTCCATGTTGTTACTCACCGGGGCACCAGGCGGTCCGGGGTTGCCGATTGCTCCTTTGCTTCCATGTGGTCCCTGTGAGCAAGCGTAAGAGGAGTATTAGTGGTGTGACTCATTACAGGGAGCGAAATCTGCAGTACGGAGAAGTAGTTATGAAGGACAAGGCGAAGAACAAAAAGGTGGTCAGTGACAATCACATGAAGTGACAGATGAGAGTGCACGCACGTGATGTTTCACGCAACAAGTGCACGCATTCTTTTAAAGCCTCTTAAGTGGCAACTTTGTCATCAACGTCACGTGGCGTTAGTACGCTCGCAGTAAACCGCTCAATGCAGGCCTTAACAACAATAGCAAAGCCTAAAATGGAGACGCATGGTCTACAATAGTATATTTACTAGAAATAATGAAAAAGTATTCGCAATAAGTGACTCGTAGCTTGAAAAAATCTCAGCGTTACCGCAAAGGCGAAGTAATGGACGCGATAGCAACAATTCGAGAGGTCACGCACAGGATGGCAAGCAGCTGGAAGCGTGTCCCACGTTTCTCACGCAAGAATGACGCACGAAACGTACTTACAGGTACGGATACGCGCGAATAGGCCTTCATTTGTTACTTCGCTGAGTCTGAAAAGCGCGCGTTTTTTTCGTGAACGGAGTTTGCAAGGTTTGCAGTAACCTTTGTGCACCAGTTAACCACAGCAGAATCGTTCCACGTAAAGCTCGAGGCAAGCCAAGGTGTATGATCCTCCCATCCTCGCCACCACGAGATAAAGGCGCGCGAGGGATTGTCACTCTCCTTCTCTAATCCGGGCAAATTATGCGTACGAGATTAGAGTAGGTGCTACTGCGCGATGCTGCGACGTGCGCTAATTGCGTCATCTTTCTGGAAATGTCGAAAACACAGCAGAGGTAAGTGGTAGATATAAATAGCTTGCCGTTTGAACGGAGAAGGACGTTCTCCGGGGTGGTTCAGTTGTTACCGCCCGCTTTCACGACGCAGAGGCCCCACGCTCGATTCCGCGTGCCAAAAGGATATTTCCTAGTTTTTCCTTGCGTTTTCATATATATGGATAAGTATACATATTTAGTGCGTGACATTGACGCTTACGTCGATGCTGACGCCGGTGCCCGAATCCAGCCGAGAGTGTCCCTATAATTGCTATCGCAATCAAATTTTCCAAAGCCAGCGACCGACTCCAACGATAGTCAAGAACGAGGGCTACCACACCGCGTCGGGTGGGGAGCGAATCCTTTTCCTTGCGCTTCAAGGGCGCTGCGTTTTTACATCTAACGGAGGAAAAATAATATGTGTACCTGAACGTCCCAAAAGTACGATATGATTACAAGAGACGTCATAGTGGAAGGATCTGGTAATTTCGACCACCTGGAGTTTTTGTAACATTCAGCTAAATGAAAGCGCACGAGACCTCAAAATTTCTTGCCTGCGTAAAATGCAGCCGCCGTAGACGAGATTAAGTCCCGCTGCCTGTGCGTTAGCATTAGGGTGTCGTAACCATTATACTACCACGTCGGGGTCATATAATGAAGGAAAAAACCTTACGAAAATTCGTGCTGACGATGTCAAGTGCCATAACACGCAGGAAGCCGATAAAGCGTTGGAAGGGCCATTTCACGTGCTTGCCGCACAGCCGCAACGCACGTGCCGGGACCCCTACCGCAAGCAAGCGGGGGCAAATGAGCCCATTGGCGACGCCGCGGAGGGTGAAAGGTAGTCGCCAATTGGCTTATTTGTCCCTCGCTTGCGTACAGTAGAGGTTTGGGCACGTGCTTGCGGCTGTGCGGCAAGTGCGTGGAACGGCCCTAAATCCGAAATATAAAATGGACAGCGAGCGTGGTTGAGCATAGGGGCCGCTGCAAATAATCACGCTCACCCTCCATTTTTTGTTTCGTTTTACTTGACAATTCAGGTTACTTTTCATAGCTTTATGTAACACTTGAAAGTCATTTGTAAAAAAATAGCAATAGAATTCCAACAATTTACGCCAAAAAAATAACGATTTAATGTCCGCAGCTGTGAATAAAACCTGGGCCTTTCGAGTGGAAAGCGGGCATTCTACCTCCAAGCCACTTTGTGGGGCCATGCCCAGCTGTTCAAACGACGACACACTGTATATACCGATCGCCGTGCCGTAAGTGGATCGGCCCTCTTTGGGCTTCACTTTCAATGCAATGCATTCGTGCTGCGTCCGCTCCGAGCCGTCCCCAGTTCTATGAGCGTACCATGTAGTCATGTTTTACATGACACGCATTTCATGATTACATGTTCGGACGAGCCATTTAACTTCGTCGCCTATTGAGGTCATGCAATACCAAATTTGGTATATGTGAAGCTAGAGAAACGACCGCGAGCGAATCATGAGCATGGCATGTGGTCGTGTTGTCACAGTTCCTACATGCAGCCTTTGAATCCATGAATAATGTGAGTGGGGCATTTCACTCTCTGCCATCCTTAATTGGCAGTGCGATTGCTATCTCCTCCGCTTTTGTGGTGGAACTTGGGCTATGGAGGCACAACTTATAACGTTTCCATCTGGGCCTGTGACTATGGCCACCAAGTTCTTTGCATTTGCAAATACGGTAATGTAATGAATTTGTGAAGGAAACCCCCGCCCACAACTAACGCAGCATTGTAGCATCCCGTCGCGAAGTCGTTGAAAAAAGTTGTAATTGGAGTGATGAAGCGAGGTTCTGTGGCTGTCAAGGGGTGTTCAATGGAAGAGAACAATGCATAAGTGTGATAATATGCGCGACGTAGCGAAATTTTTTTTGCGACATCCACCCTTAAGAGAGATATGAGCAGTGTGGGTGCTCCTTCGTGGGCACAACAAGCAGCGTTTTCGGCGAGGTGGTTGCCACCAATCCCACAGTGACCAGACAGCCATTCAAAAGTTATGTCATGTCCTTTGTTAGTGGCACGATGACAGATTTTATTAATTTGAGATATGATATAATGGTAGTTTGCGAATGGTCGACTTCGCATACATTCAAGGGCCACCTTGGATTCGTATAGGATAGCCCACTTAGCAGGGGATTGTTGCATAACAAATCAAACTGCGGCTATAAGGGCGGTGAGCTCGGAGCCCGTAGACGATGTGACGTGTGAAGTCTTGAAATTGACGGTGATTGGCCGAGATGGAGTCGCAAAAGCGCCCATCGAACTTCCCGAGACTGAACCGTCCGTATAAATATGAGTTTGGTTTTTATATGATATATGTAAAAGTGGTTTATCGACGTGTTCTGTCACGGTGGCTCCAAGAACAAAACGCAATCGTAACAGAGCAGCTTTGAGGCAGTTGCCAGTTGCAATAAGCGCAAGGCAAGCGAGACGAGCCCAGAACCCAGTACCCAAGCATTGGTGAAGCTGCTTGCCAACGATGCATCTTCTTCTTCACACATTCTAAAATTATTCACATGAGAAGTTCTGCTCTGTTTGAAAATCGGCCTTCTATGGGCAACTCAATGTATGTTGCTTCATGATCTGTATTCCCAATTCTGCTTTTTTGGCGTTGTTTTTGAAGCATTATCTTCTGAGGCATTCTGTGTTCTACTTTCGTTTTTGGTTTTATTATGTCCATGCTCATGTATACTTTTTCTAACCACTTTCTGCATCGGCCTGTACAAGGCCTACAGTACTGATAAATAAATGAATGAAAAAAAAACTCCCTTCACTTTGCCTGAAGGGCAAGGTGGAGGAAACCAGCATGCCACTTGAGCACCGTTTGATGGCTTCCACAGCATGCCTGCACGATGGCAGTGGCACACAATAGATGGCGACGTGCTTTTCTTGGAGGAGAGCTTACGAAGCACGCGCACATTGCACATCTTCAAACATACTTCCAGGAACTGCGACATAAATACACATGTACTGAATTTGTTTAGGGTGTGGTATTGTTCAACACTTCTGCGTCGTAATCAGCCGTCCGTTCATTCTTTTCGGAAGCCGGCGCTCTGTACACTGCAAGAAGCATTTTCACAGGCGAAGCTTATGGGATACTTGCGGCCATTAAGCACAATAATGAAATAAAAATACAGAAGGCGCTAATATACAAAGATTTTCAATGTGTAGCAAGCGCACTGAAAACTTTTAAAATACACTAAAAATTCATATTTGCCTCACTTTACTCCTTTTCATGCACAGTCTACACATCCAAACAGCTTGTCGTAGTCTAATTGGTAACAAGGCACTGCCAGATACAAGGGAAAGTTCTGGTGGACCAGCTAGTTGCATCCGCCAACAAAATAGCTCACAATACGTCAGTGCCATTCCTGCGCTTGACATAAACCCTTTCCTAAAAAGAAAGCTTAAGGATTATCAGCAGAGCACGTGGGACAGGCACAAAGACAACACACTGCATGTCATCGAGGCGCAACTTGGTGATCAGCCGCCAGTATAAAAATCACGCCGCACGAAAGTATGAATTAAAATATATTCCGGCTCAACACAGCAAAATTTAACACAAGTTCCACAGACGTTTCTCCACCTGTGCGAGTGGCGTCCTCAGTATTCACTAGCACCAAATGAGAGGTCACTCAGTCTACGTATAATCTTCTATGCCTCTGTACACATACGGTAAAGGGTCATGGTAGCGAACCACAACCAAGACATTTTTAACTTGTAGCGAAACTTCTATAGAAGTTCATGTGCCCAGTGGTTGCGCCACCGTCTAAGTATGAAGGGGACGACTAAGAGCTAACACTAAATACAGAGTGTACCATGACGTCACGACTGGAAGTGGTAGCAACGTCGTGCATTTGCTGTATATGGCGTGAAATCAGTCAATTATCGATTGTGGACATTTTAGGTGTGTTATAAATACGCGATTTTATTTCACCTTATGACTCACTAATTTCCTGCGCGAGAGGAAAGAATGACCAACTAGAAAGTCTGAAAAAACGAATATCTTTCATTATCCAAGTGATGTACTTGCAATGTACACCAAAGACTTCGCAGATGAAGTTGTGTCAACTTTTTTATGAGCAAGTTAGCATAATAGTTCGAAAACTCACGTTGTTCAATTGTGGGAAACCACTGCAGCCAAGCACCAGCCTTCAGAG